TTAAATGCACGCATACCTGGAAAGAAAGTGTAAAACGAAATGAAATGTTATACTACGCTTTCTATTTGCTTTTCTTATGTAAAATTACTCTCTTGCTACTCGTACCAGCTACACGATACTTGATATAATATCATATATTTATCGATATCAGATGAACTAGAAAATTTTCGACACACGATACCCCATTTAACAGCCATATTTATCCAAACACGATTAACAAATGATTGCTGTTTTCAGAGTGTTATAAATCAAGTTAAATTACCAAAGATTTGACCGTATTGAAAGAAACTGCGTATCGACATGCGATCGTACGATTCGAATTCGCCATTGCGTTACCGAAATTCAAGCCTGAATGATTCGACACGACCAGGCTGATCCTGAAATCATGGGAAACGACGACAAACATTTCTAGACCAGTTTCTTCGCATTGCCACCGTCGATTGGCGGAGAAGGGTAAAAAACGACTTGGCTGGAATTTAAGCGATCGAGTCACGCGATACGTAATCAACTCGCACTTCGATGTTCCACGAGCTTTTAGGGGCCATTTTGCCTTTTCTTTACCTACGGAAATAATAGCGCGGGAAAGATCGTGATGTGCGTCTGATCAGTGCACTTGGAAAATTAACAAAGTAATTCCGTCCTTCTGTATGTTTTCATTTATCTAATTGTTTATCAGTCTCTTATTTGAATTCTTGTCTCTTTCCTTATTTTAACAAAGTTCTCTTAATAATGTCTCTCTTCTTTTCAATCTTTGATTCTTCTTTATTTAATTCTTCTAGATCCTTCGTAACTTGAACTCACTTTATTTACGTAATCTATATTCATTTTTAACATCAAGTCCTCGAAGCTAGTAAAATATCGATCATCCTTAATTATAAGAAAATATTCAAAAACTATATTTTTATGTTACCAGAGATATCGAAATATTAAATATCCGAGATTATCCAAATATCCCACGTGTTCGATATTGGATAATAAAAAGAGATAGGTATTAAATTTGTCGAAATTATTGAATAATCCACATAACATAATGTACATTCCAACTGTTCCGATATCGTAGGAAGGGACGAGTTAAAATTTAGCGAAATGATTAAAATTCGCGTATAAACAACGGGTATTCGGTTCCATCTGGATCGCTTCCGTTCTCAGTCTTAACTAGAAGCCAAGGAAGAAAAACGAGCGCGCAAAGGGCAGCCTTCACGTTCAATTCTTTGTGCCCACGACAGATGCCGAGTGGTCCGCGATTTTGCCCTAAGATCGGCCTTACGTGCACGCAAACGCAATAATAAGAGCCACCGGACTCGTATCCGGTCCCCATGGCCGCTGATATTATTGTCGAGACCACCCTTTCTCCTTTTCGTCTTTCTCTCGTTAAAACTCCTCCTCTACTCTGGTTTCTTCGCCCTTCTTCTTGCTCTCGTTGCAACACACCTTTGATTTCTTTCTCCACTTTTCTCCTCTCTCACGAGCGATTCTTCTCGTCTTATTCTGCTCTTTTATCCTCGACCTTGCGATTTCTTGCTTCCCCAACTCTTCAGCTGTTTTCGTCGGACGAGTATTCCGAGTTGAATCGAATTATTTTACTTCTTAAGTGCGATAATTCGATGTCGAAGTTGTTGGATAAATCTCAGTCCTGGATTAATGTAATTTCAACTTGCATGGCTATAATAATTTTACAGATGAATTCCGTAGAAATATTTTCTTCTTTCTTTCTTATCCTTTCGTTTGACAGTCTGTGCTTTTGTCTCGATATGTTCTTCTCCATGGAGGAAAGGTTGAATTCTGTTATAAAGAAAAATTGGAAATGAAGAAATTTGTTTTAAATAACTTATTTATTTGAAAGAAATAGCAATGACGTATTAGATGCCGAAGTAACCTTTTCTCGTTCTTTAATCGATCAGCTGATCAATTAGACGCTGTGGTTGGTGATCAACCATCTGAAACGTGAGTAAGCAACATTTCTAACACACAGTCGTAAGTGATATCATCACCCTTGCTACAAATTTGATTGGTTCCTCAAGGCTATCGACGAATAAGTCTTGCTACTTCCTCTGTCGGAGATTGCTAAGAAGATCACTTGCGTAGTCGTTCGGAGTCAAAGAAGCGGCCTTGACCTGCCAATTAATCCTGGCCATGGAACAAGTTGTATGATGAAAGAAAGGATCAAAATCTTTGACTTCAACTATGAGTTCAATGTCGATGAAACACGAAGATCATGCTGCCACACTATCTATTAAATCTCTGAATAAATACGTATTGGAAATGTCCTGCTACCTTGACTACCTTGACTATTGAACACTATATTTATTTTGGCTAACCTTAGGTAATCTTTATCAATTATTTATTTCCTTTAAATCATGAAGACGAATCGATGTCAATGTTACTTGGCAGCTCGGCAATTTTCCAATTTCCCAAGCTAGAACTATCGATCTTTAATGAGGTGGTTGAACATAGCGAGCCTAGATAATAATAATTTTCATTAATTTTCACGAAAATGAGCGGATATATTAATTACAGTTGTATCTCCATATGTGTCAATACTGATCGTTTAAATGCAGGTATATGTTTTTAGTGATTGCAAAGGAGAAAATTCCGAGACCAGTCATTTCGACTGGATCGATGGTTTTAGCATTAGTAATGACATTTCTCTGCATCGCAAATCACGTAATACTGCATTTTTCTCATCAAAATTTCCTCTTTTTGTCGTATCACTGAATTTCCCAAGATTTTCCCGCCTCTTCCCCGTTCCCTTACTCCAAGCCGGACGTTCATCGCGTCCAACATCGCATCCCAAGACATCATTTTCCATTCCTCGCGCAATATTTCTCTTCCCCGTCTCTTGCTTTATTGAATTCCACCGTTGGACTTCCGCTTCACTCCCTCTTTCTCTCAAACATTCCCCATAATTTCTTTTCCCGCCACTTCAATCTATCTTGTTACGTTTGGCAAGTTTTTCTTGGACCCTATCCTCCGTCAAGTACTTTCCTTCCTTCCCGCGCGAAACCTTCTTCCTCTTCTGGATTCTTCCGTCCCTTCTTCGTCCACTATTTCCATGCATGCATCTTCGTGTCACGTTCCACGCATTCTCTTACTCTTTTTGCTTCCTATCACGTGCAACCTCTTCTTCCCGTTCTCCTCACGCTCACTCGGATTTTCCTTTTCCCACGTTCGTCGCTTTAATCTTTCCCGATTCTTCTTTCTTTTCGTTTCGTTTCGTTTCGCACTATATTTAGACGGTTACTCGGACGTCCAATTGGTTGACGTCACAGGCCTATGCAAATACCGTGATTGGCGATATGGTACGCCGTTAACGCATCGCCAAGATTTTCTTGACCCCTCATACGTCGAGGTTTCGCTGCGGCTATGCGCGTTAGAATTAGCTAATCGGTGATTTAATACCGGGACAAGCGAAGGTCGTTGAAATGTTATATGTAAATTACTCGTGTTTGGTAGTGTTTCATTGTACGAGTTGAAGCTTGCTCGTTCCATGGCTTCGGGTTATGGTTGGGATTAAAATGACGATTTAGAGCAAATGCAGTTTGTCGTAGGTAGTTGAGGTATAATCTCGATTGCGAGTTGATGTTAGGAGGTGAAGAGATTGACCTGAGACTGAAGAAGACTTTTCTTCGTTTCATCTTGTAATGTTGATTTTTGAGCATCGCTTGGATATTTCCTAGGATGATCATCTGTCACGGAGGTTGTACAAGATGATCGTGTATTTATTTGTGTCTATAGAACTGAAATGCAATTTCGTTGAGGAGGAAATATTGGCTTAGACCGAATAATAACTCTATGATAATGTTGTTTTCAGTAATTGGCATACGAGAGAATAGTACAATTGATAAGGTATACGATTACTACTCCTAATGCTGATTATGGCCGTCATATAGTTGATGGGGAAGTTGAAGAATAAAAATAGGAAGAAAATGATTTACAAAATTTCGATATCCAGTGTCAAACGTTATCTTGGTAGAATAAACGAGAAAAGAAAATTTGTTTCATTAGCTTGGAGAATATGAAAGGTCCAACGAAATCGTAGAGAAATCTTAACGCGATACAAGTTTCTTTTAAATTGCGTGTATTAGATTTCATCGAAGTTTCAGTCTCGAAGCAAAGTATAACGAGAAACTCAACTACGTCGGAGAGTAAAAATAAAAATTCGAACGCTTGCCAATTTCTGTATCGCTTTTTTTATTTCTGACAATGTAACGCTACGTTCGTTTTAGTTTTCACTACATCATTCGCGAATTTCTCGTTCGACAACTATATTTTACCGGCACGTTAACATCGATTACAATCGCAGTTTTCTTCTTTTTTTCAAGCGATACTCGACAGTTTCATCGTAAATAATACTTGACAGTGCACAAATGAGTTACTCGAACACTTACAGATGGTATTTAATTTACAGTTTTCCCTATGACATATGTACATCGCACAGCTGTATAATTCTTCAATGACTATGAAATAATTTCTTTCCATAAAAAAATCTGCTTTGTCGAAATGAAAGAATAATTAGGCCCACTTTTTCCTCCGTTGCTCTTTCATTAATACTCGAAACATTTTCATCATATTTTTATACGAGCTCTGAACCTCTGTGTATTCCTGATGTTGGGTACTTTATATCTTTCTTGTGAAATAATTTATTCGTATAATTCCTTCGCCTTCAGTTTCGTATCTCGTTAATAGTACGTGTAATAATTATAAATAATTAGAGAAGCAAACACCAGTATAATTATTTACCCTCTAAGTTAGGTTAGGACAATCTAATCAAACTATTCTAAACGTTCGATATATTCGTTCTTCTTCTTTCTTTTTCATCTTCATTTACCTTTTCTAAGTTTGTGCAATTCTAAAAAGAAACAAAAGAACAGGCCGGTATATTTCTTCATCATATTTCCTTTATTAAAATATCCATACTCTGGACATCAAAACAATTTTATGGTTCCTATGTATATTTTTCTCTTTTAAAAAATTACACTTTGCTCCTGTAATTTTCCTTCAAACCAAGACGAACATTTCATCCTCGACTAACACGACGCCCCATCGACGCTTTCACATCGATTTTTCATTCAGCCCTGGCACGCTCTCCTCTTTTCGTTCCTGCTTCAGCTCGATGACTTCCTTCGTCATCTCCCCACCGGCTTTTTCACCATGCCTCTTTATGTGCCCCTGAACGATACTCGGAAACGCGACTTTGAGATCGTAGGCTAGGCCAAGGTACGCGAGTAGATCGAGCACCAAGCTGGACAAACTGAATGTATCCGTCATTCGATAATCCCACGGGAAACTGTGATGGAAATTGTGGAAACCTTCGCCGAGCGTCGCCAACGAGGAAATGAACGATTCTCTTGCCCTGATCCTCCTGAAACATGTACACGAACCTGAGAACTCGCGTTTTACGATGTTTGCGAATAGTTTGTCTCGGTCAACCGTTGAGTTAGTCGGTGATTACTCTCAAACGGAAGTAAATAGATCCTCGACTGTGCGGGGATCTTGCTTCTAGCTTGTGTAATCGTTTAATTGGCTTAAATTGCATTGTCAATTCTTGGGATCTTCTCATTAACGATTATGTCGTTTGTGAGGGATATTTTCATATGTCGATATACGAATAATTGTATTTTGAACTTTGGAAATTTTCTAGGTTTCTCTATTCGCCTTGTTTTATCCTCTTGAACTTGGTATCTGGAGAGCTAGACCTTCTTCCTTTTGTGATATTTATGTACTGCTTTAAATAAGAGGTGCAAGTTCTTCAACTTCTCGTGATGAATTGAAGTAAAATACTGAAATATTCTCACTATCCTTTCTCCTATTTCCTCAAGATAGGAAAGAGAATAGCTCTCTAAAGCTCACGTGTTGCCAGTTGTAAAAATGTTGTATTATTTTTACGGTATACCTAGAAGGGGAAGAGTAATCAATGACATGGTATATGCAACTTACTTGTCATAAGGCTTCGATCCCCACATGTGCGCGAACGAGTTAATAGTCCAAGTTATGTGCAGAGTGGTAACGTATCGTAAGCAGTAGGCTACGAAGAAGGAAGACCAAAGTGACTCGTTCCAAAAGTACATTGGTACTGCCACCGGGAAGAACATTGCCAGGGGAAAGTAGAGATACAAAAAGTAGCTGCAATTTGTGTACACCTTGTATCATTTTCTTGAAAGACAACTTGTAAAGTGATAATATAAATGAACATTTAAAATTGGAGTTCGTGAAGGGAAATAAATACCATTACAATATCATCGATACCTTTGTAAAAATATTATGAAATAAATAAATAAATTAAAAGGAAACTTATAATTAAAGAAATTTATAATTAACGAGTGGAAAGTGGTATTACTATATGAAAGGAAAGATATAAGGTATGACTCGATTGATATTGTAAATTTAAATTTCCCCAAATTTATGAAAATGGAAACGATGATTGATAAATAATACTCACCGGTGTTGGAACATGATAAGCTTGTCGTTTAATAAATCCGAAACATCTATTTCGCGTTGTTTCTGTAACAGCAACGGGTGTTTCTTCATCATCAGCCAGCCTATATGAGAAAAGAAAAATCCTCGAGTTGAATTGTGAGGATCTGCGTCCGTGTCGCTGTATTTGTGATGAAGCTTATGGTCCCTTGCCCATGTGAACATACTATTCTGAAATGAATTCGTAGGTATCGAACGATTTAAGAGTGTCGCCAATGAATTCAATGAATTCGTTAATTTTCCGCTGATCATTGCACTGGATCGAGTAGAAATAATTATGTTTACCTGACCAGCCATTGTTTGGAAGATGACTAACGTCAATGAATTCAATGAATTCGTTAATTTTCCGCTGATCATTGCACTGGATCGAGTAGAAATAATTGTTTACCTGACCAGCCATTGTTTGGAAGATGACTAACCCAACTTTCAAAGGATACCTTGGCTTGTAGCTTCTGTGGCTGTAGTCACGATGCGCAGCAAGAGCTACTCCTTCAATCGACAGGAATGCAACGAGGAATCCTTGTGAAATTCATTTCATGTTAATAAAAATACCGTGGTTGGATATTTTTAATAAAGCAATACTCGTTAAGATTTTGAACGAAATTTCTATTTACCCTTAAAAGCAGGATTTAGATCGTACCAATGTACAGGGATTTAATTATCAGTGGGATTTCTCGAAACGACATTGTACTCTCATACAATAGCTGTACGGAAGTATTTATGATACATATAGAATATTAATAAACAAGGAAAGAAATTGATAGTATTCGCTAATGAATATGGAAACCCAGGAGTATCGTATTCATTTTTTTTGTTACGTGATCAATGAAAAGTTCGTTCGTTTAAAAGGAAGCAGCAATATCTCCAATTAAAATAATAGCGTTATTTTATCGTACAATGCACGATATAGAGAGGTCTAACAAATTGGTCAAATTAATTTCCAGCAATTTTGTTTTCTGAAAAATCAACAATGGAGAGAATTCGTATGACAATTTCATTCTGCCTTGTCGTAAAAATTTACGCTTCGCTTTATCGCGTCGTGCAATATAGGATAAATAAAACACCGAATAATTCTCAGAAATTGAATCAACGAAAATCAAATATTTAATAATACGTGTTCCTCGTTTTGCAATATCGTAAAACTTCTTCTTCAACGAAGTTTGATTACTTACCCCATAGTATAGTGGCGAGCTTGCTATGAAAAAGCGCAGTGTAGATGCCGATTAACCATCCAATCTGAAGAAGGGAATGAACAATTACGTGAGGCACGAGAAACTTGTGCTTGTAGTTCATGTCGGTGCTAAGTTTTCGTTTCTGGATCACTTCCTCCACCTCGTACGTTTCATTTTCATTCTCCTCGATCGTCTCAGATCCCATTTTTTGCGAGATGACTTTCCTACAATTACACGTGTTCACGATTAGTTTAAACGAAGATGTATTAAACAAAGAAATACGGATATGATTTGCGAACCTTAAAGCAAGAATCGACGAGCGACGTTATCGAAGCCCACTCCTCGAATTCAAATTGCTCCGGAGTTACCTGGATTTTATAGATGTCTCGAACAATATACAACTCGTATATAAAGTATATTGTTATTAACGACACGGAAGCCACTTTGACCTCTATGTATCGACCGAACAATTGATTAATTTTACGACTTTCCTCGGACTAATTGCGGAAAACCTCGTTTCCGTCGCTATTCCGCTTTTTTCCTTTTTTAAGGAATATCCGCGATGAAAAATATTCGACGAATATCACGATGAATATACGAAATTTTACCTGAAATTGCAAGTGGTATCTTCATCGAAATTTTTAGAAATTTTCTTTTGATTCCTAACATTGTGTATTTGTATATGCCATTTGCTTATAAATGCAGTTGCGAGTTGAAGTAATAAATTTGTAAAAAATTTGTATAGTTAGAAGATGAAAATGATGAAATCGCGTGATTTAAATGGAGGATAGAAGGAAACGATAACTAACCGTTCGATAATTTAGAAAAATTGTTCCAAGGATACGAAATAGGTTGTAACGTGGTTGAAAATTGAACGACATAGTCTCTGTTTAAAAATATTCATTAACTTCTTAATTAACTAGTTATCTATAAACTATGAACCTTCCAATCTACTATTTCCAATTCCCCGACTTCCGACACTACTATTCGGTGGTGTTTACATATTCATATCGCAATGATATACATATACGAGATAATGGAAAAAAGTATATCGTACATAAATATGTATATCAGTAACAATAACAATGAAAGACGCGATTGGTTGTCGAGAAAAGATGTTTACGAGGCCATTAACCAATTAAATGCCCCGTGCATCACGAGTTCCACGAAAGGGTGGTGGTGCATAATCGCGGAGGAAACGTTTTTAAATGCATATGCCCGACGAAAACGAGTTTCCAGAGAAACAGCTGAAGACGCTCGCGTCGCAAGGAAGCATCACGATCAACAGGGGCATCTGTTCGTTGGCCACCTGTCGGCAGGTGCAAAACGTACAGGCCACGTAGCCCGTTACCTTCGACTCGGTATCAATTGGCCCTTTTGTTTTCCCCGGCACTTCCACCATTCCCGTTTTACTACGTCGTAGTACGCGCGTACGACACGCGTACGTCGCCATTCCGGATGTTACCGACTCGTGCACAGGACCCACGGTGGTCCCCTCCCCCCGCAAGTAAAACCCTTTAAGCTCGAACCGTGTAAACAGGAAGCTGTCTCTCCTTGCTCCTGTGTCTTCCGACGCAGGTTACAAATAACGCCTTGGAGAACACCTGCGCGCCATCTTACCCCCGTTTCTTTTTACACGCGGTCCAGTTTCAGCCATTTCTTGTTCTTCGTGGTTGCAACGAGCCTTCTATACTAACCGAGATGCTGAGGGTTTCTTTCCATGGTGTCTCGTAAATTTTACAAACGGTGGAACTGCAAATGATGGAACCAGAAGTCGAGTTTAATTTATAGATGTATTGGTGGGGTGGATTATTTAGCGTGTATTGATTTGGGGATAATGTGAAGAAGGATAGAAATAGCTGCATGTGTGTAGAGAATTTGTACGTGTGCTATAGAGATCGTTTTAACCCTAATTGATACCCTGTCTGGGTTGTGGATATCGAGTAATAATTTTTTGAAGTACTTTGTTTTAATTTGCGTTTTGCGTTCTATGTGCGAGTGTTTATCGATGGTATTTAATTCACGAGACAATAACCCGAGTGAAATCTAAATTGAAATATGATTCAGCGATATTAATCGATGATTAAGGTTCACGCGAAGCTTATTAAATCGTTAAGTTATATTAATTATAAGATTGCGAATGATATTACTCGATACATTCGCTTCGATGGCATATGATTTACAATTTTAAACGTGGCCTTCCTGCAAAATAATCTCATGATAATAAGGGAAAGTAAATGAGATGAAAATAACGACAAAATGATTTTAGTATAATAATAGGACGCTATTTTTATTCCAGGCGGCGATACTTCAGCAGACTGCCGAATACATATACCAGTTGGAGCAAGAGAAGACTCAACTGTTGTCACAGAATTGTCAATTGAAGCGATTGGTGAATCAGCACGAGGGTGGCGATGTTCCGATCAAGAAACGCAAGCCGGACAATCAAGGTGAGTGTGCCAGTCTTATTTGCAACATTTATAACAAATTTTCAATCGAATAACCTACCCCGCATAGTATTAACCCTTTGCACTCGAGAGGTGAGCCTCAACCACCATTTTATAAAATTTGGAAGATCGATATTAATTAATATATCAAATTTAATGCAATGTAACAGTGTGCGAGGTATCGAAATCAAATAATTCTACATTTCTATTATTATTCAATTCTTTATTTACTGCTCAAAAAAGTATCGTCAGCTTTTTAGTAGAGAATCTTTGAATTTCTACTCTTCTCTAGCCAAAAGTCATCGAGTGCAGAGGGTTAACACTTTGACTGCAAAGTTGGTCATATATGACCAGTCACTCGAACTACTTACAATTGTAATAATTCAATGAAAATTGACATTTGGCGCATTTTGAATATAACAGCTAATTAGAAGATACTTTGAAATAAAAAATGTCCCATTGGACAATTAAAAATGTTGAATTTTGAAGAATAGAAATACTCCCTGAACGTGCTGAGCGAAACATGTGATTCTAGCGTGGCAGTGATAGGGTTAAAAAGTAAAATTTATCTAAAATAATTGAACGAAACGATTATATGTGATAGAAATACAATCTGAAACGAGATGTATTAAAAATTACCGAACCGAATTCAGAGAACGCAATCTGCGAACGAACGATCGCTAATTTACCCGCGTCATCGGAATAACTTACTTTATGATACTGACTCATCGCAAAGATTCGTCGAGGAATTTTTTAATTTGTCGGTGGAAAGTGGCGTGGAGATTAATATAGGAGGCGTCGTTCGTCATTTTCGCGCGAGTAATTACATTCCTGCAGGCTCTGGCCGTCCTACGCCGGATATTCTATTCCGTTCACAAGAGGGAAGAAGTCGCAATTCGATCGATAGGATCGAAACTTGGTTTACTCTCCTTTGACGCTCGCGGTGCGATTAAATTTTCAGGCTCACTCGTCCATTGGAAAGGGGGATACTTTCTTTGCCTTCGAAGTCATTGCTTTACGCTTCAGCCGAGTAACAAATTATTTGAGCATAATGAATATCGACTTTGAACATTCCTTTCGCATTTGCAGTTGAAAATTCTAATAATTTATTCGATTAGAATCACGAACAGGAAAATGAACATTAATAATAGAATTAAATACGAAGAACGATATATTAAATTTTCCTGTTGCAATTAAAATCTACCGAGTCGAAACAAACACAACAGTAAGATGTGAACAGGAAAATCCATAGAAAAATATCGCAATTAAATAAAGCCTAGAAAAATTAGAAATTTCTCTTTCATCTAATAATCTACGAGTAGAACAATCGAGTAGTGCAATTGTCATTATAACAAAGAATGAAAATAATAGGAAAGAATAATTTTTCCATGCATGAATTGATATTAGGGGACTTGATCGACATCGTGGACATTGTACGCACGACATAATACCAGGAATGTGGGTGTATTTGCATAATAAGAAATCGTGAATCTATGATCAATTGACTGCGAGATTAGAGCAGTGGGTTTACGCTAAGCTAAAGTGATAGAAGGACCCGCCTCGGACCACACCGAGACCGTGAGACCTATTCTAGATCGGCACGAGGCCCTGGGAATACCAGCTCTCTAGGTTCGTGAAACACGTCACAGATCACCACGAGGCCGTGAGACCTCGAACTTCGTCACTACACTGTTGCAGAATCCAAGTTGAGACCGGATCAAGAAACTTCCATGTTCATGATAGGGTCGTGGGATATCCTAGACTCTGAACTCGGAGATCCGTGGACATTCGAATACTTTAGTTCTACTCGCTAGACCTCGTGAACATGCAAGTCCCACAACCTCGGTGTGTTTCGCTTAGATTCCAGAACTAACGATCGGATCACAGTGTTGAAGATTCTACGATTCCATGGAGGCGTGAAACGCGTTTCACCACTCTGGTGGTTGGCGACCTCCATGATTCCAGGATCATGGGGTACAAGACTATGGTTCTTAGCCAAGTCATGGTGGGTTTCCCGATTCTAGAATAGACACGTCGTGGTCGTGGTGATCAAGATCCTCGGAGTCTTCGGTGATCCGAGATAAGTTGCGCGATTTCGGAGTGATGGTGTTTAAGGTCTTGGTGGTTAAGGCCTTAGGGTTGCCCGTTGCGCGTTTCGCTGTCTACGGGGTTCGAGATCGCACGGTCTCCCGGTGATTCGTGGCGAGTTTTATGATCCCGGGGTGGACGTATAGGGTTATACGACTCTAGGCCGTGGTGGCTTGGGACAAGTTTCAGTACTTCATGACGGGCGTTGTATGTTCCTCGAGTCTTGGGTCATGAAGTTCGATGTCCCACGATCTTATGATACTATGGAGCAGATCCTACGGGCTTGAGGTGGTTTGTGGCAGGTTCTGTCGCCTCAGATTACCGTGTGGCCGGTGCTCTGATCCCACAGTAGACCGAGCATAATTCTACGTTCCTGCTATCTGTTGGATACGCTTCAGGGTGCTGTGCATACAGTGTCGATGATCGAGTAACTACTCTTATCTAATAAAGACTTTGCAATTTGTTGGTTTTCTTGAGATCACCCTAGGCAGAATTTCTTTTTATAGTACATGGATTAAAAAATCCGAAATTGCTAATTTTCCTTTGATTTCCTTTTAATTTGGTAATATCACATTGCTGCGTGGTAAACGGTACGTGTCTGGATATTCGATTATTTAATTACAACCGAATAGTTATTTCCTTAGTAAACATATCAAGGAAATGATATTTCTCATTAATTTCGCTGCATTTATGCATGAATCTCTGATCACGTGACTGATGTTAATGAAATACACGCAATCATGTCCAATTTGAACTCCGAAATTGGAAATTTTGACGGTCGTAACTGTGAAAATTCCATCTGTAGATTTAATAACTACCGCAATTAAGAGTCTGCAGGTAGCCATACTACATCCATATGAAAGCTAACGACGCTCATACCGTGAAAGTAATAGGAAATACCCCGAATCGCGTGATTAAAAGGTTGAATCCAACGTTTCACTTAGCACAAGAAGTAAATTCAGCCTTACATTAACCTTTAGCGATCCAAGTATGTACTTTAGACACGGTCATTTTCGAATCGAATGTCTTCTAATTGCATTTCCAAGCAATATCAAAGTTCAGCCTTCCATTATCCATACATTTTATTATCTTTCGCAACAGAAGCCCTTTCACGTACCGAAAACTATTTAAAAAATCTCCTCTAACGCTTCGCTAATATTTCCTAACAGGACAAATCCGTTACATCTTGCGAAACATATATGTAGAATGGCAATGGCCGATTCGCGATTTCTTTCCGAAATGATATCCTACACATATGAGAGAAATAACTCGGAATTACGCGTTATCTTTGCCTGTCTAATCGACTAATGAATTTCCCATGGAATTTCTTCGTTTCAGGAGGTGTCGTGGTCAGTCTACCAATGCACGTTAGCGAAAGCGGTGACGAAGGATTGGGTAGCATGTCCCCTGAACCATTGTCGGTAATAACGGTGACCACAGAGGGACATTCCGTGGTCAACAGCGAGGTAGTGGAGCTGAGACGACAGTTGGAGAGGGAGCGTCACGCGAGGTTGCATCTTGAGAAGCAAATGAGGGCTATACAGAGTCAACTCTATCCGGAGAGATTCAGGGATAATCAGCTGGTCACTTACCAGCCGCACGAGGTATCTTAATAGTAATATCTTTTCCTTTTCGAAACTCGTTGACAACGGAATGGAAGTCGCCGAACACGTACGATTGCGAAGTCAACGAACTCGAAAATTATGCACGCGTGATCACTCACGTGTAATTATACATCCTGTACTTAAACAAACCATAAACAGTGTTTGCAACGACGAAATCACGCTAAAACGTAAACTAAATTATACGTTTCTTGAACCAAGTATAGTACTTTGTAATTGATCGATACTATCCCAGTTTAATCCAAAGATTAGGAACCATTAAGAACCATTAGGAACCAACACCTCAGGTACAAGTGGACATAGACAAATTCCAAATCACACGGTGTTATCGCTCAACGAGTGATAGCTTATAGATTATCCCGTTTCAGATCTAGACTCGACTGTTTAACAGGATTTTAACGCAGCTCCTATTCCTCAGGTGATCGAACACACGGACAACGTGATTGCTCAGGAGACAGAGGAAGCGGTCGCTGCTCTTCAGGTAGTTTCCGTGGTGTCCTTGGCATCGGTTGGCGCAACGCAAACCGTGGAAACGTCTAGTCCGGATCCAAGTTCACCACCCCTATCTCCACAGCCCGCCGACATGGTACCAGAGGAGATCAAAGAAGAGGAGGCTGGCCCGGGTTCGCCGAAGATCGTGACATTCGCCCAGAACCAGGTGTTCTCCGCGATCGACGAACAGACTACCGGCGACTCGTTCTCCTCATCCAGTCGTGTCACGTACGCTGCAAGTACAGGGGAGTTCAAGAACGCGTCGCCTCAGTACATCACCACCAGCCCCAGCAGGCCATTTTCACCGGCCGCAGAGCCGCAGCGACTACCCAGCGTCCTCGAAGCGGCGATGAAAGCGGAACCGAAGGTTGAAGTTGAGAGGTAAGTGTACCGGTTTTTACTCCGTGCTTTTTCTTCGCATTATCGTGCACGTAGGCCTATGGGAAATTACGTTTCTTCGATGGAACATCGGTAGTTGGCTTAACACTGTCAACGTACAAATTGCATTCGAAGGTAACAGAGGCAGACACGATAAGTCCATTGTTCGTGAGAATATAATTTTCACGGGACTAGCAATAAGAGTGTCTTTTTATTTGAGTTTAGACTTAAATAGGAGACTCGGTTGAAAGTGTTCTCTTACTTTGAGAATAAAGCTAGCGCAGGAAGTGAGATCTGTATTTATTCAGAAGCTTTTGTTAAGAATTTTTAAGATTTTGTGAATACGGAAACATGCTTTTTGATCATATCTCTGAGCCTTTTGAGCATTGGTTAGGTTAAATTCATAGACTGTTCCAACCTGTCATATTAGAATACCCTCTGTTAGCCAGGAATTGACATTGAAATAGGGAAATGAACAAAGATAGACTTGTATTTTCTCCGTATATGTTTTTCATTTATTTCTAAATAACGGGTTATTTTTAGAATGCATGCTCACGTTCGTATATATGCATATTGTTTGGATTCGTTAAGAATCCAAGTGTTGAATACTATTCCTCAAATGTTCCTTTCCTTTGTTAGTTCTATTATACCTTTTTCTTCAATGTGAGACGTGCAAATAATTTACCTGGAGTCAACGTTGAGCATTTCTTTTCGAGATACGCACAGATCCACAGAAACCGTACAAGACAATTTGAAAATGGTGTATAAAGATTTAGTTTGGAATTATTTTACCTATCATAACTACGAGATAATTAGTCTTGCGTGAGAGATAATCAAATATTATTATCGCGATTCACTCGTATAGCAGAATAAACATAAAGTATTACGGTATCAATAATGAAACGATATGTTAATAATAATATGCATGAAATTTGTACCGATTTCTTCTACGTTTTGCGATTCCATCGGATTAGCGAATTTGGAAACAGAACGGTTTAATAGATTCATAAATTCATTATAAATTCATTAGACTTTAATGCCGAATTGATTATTCAGTTCTAAATATTCATTTCGTATATTATGACACCTTGCACGCTATCGAGGAAAGGGAAGGGTAGAAATTTTTGAGTAACTTCGTCGTGTGCTAATAAACGTCGATAAGTACCTATCAATTTCACTTTGAACTTTACGCGGTACACTTGTCTAGTTCGCATTCACTATGTAGAGTAAATGTCAAGGTAAATACTAATACGTGTCTTCGTCTTGTTAATATTTCATTAAGCGTTGATAGTAGTTCTTGTGAGTACTACCACTTCACTGATAACAACCTATAAAGAGCGGTACAGTAACGCAATAAAATGAGAAACTTGACTGTATATTTATCTAGTAATTTTTATGACCAGTTACTAAATCTTCAACACCTTCTTCCTATTGTCTCGTATAGTAAGTCTTTCTTCGTATCGTCTACATACATTCGGTTAAAGAAATTCGTTCATTAGCATAGAAATGCTGTCCGTGGACATCGTTATTATTCGCGCATCTTTTTAATATCATTGCAATCACATCTCACGACTAGTGTTGGTAATCGCGATGTATTACCAAATCGTAACAATAATTAATTGAGCCATCAGCACTGATTAACTAATTAATTAAAACGTCACGATAAATAACAGTACTCGTGTGCTGTCCATTGCAAACACGTTAAATTTCCCATATCCTTCACCAAATGCCCTCTACGCCCCTTATAAACTACCCTATAATAACCCCGTAACCGCTGGAATTAGAAAAGAAAAGGTGGAAAGAAAGGAAAAAGTAATTGTAATTACAGGTTGCCGTCTCCATCGAACTCCTTGGATGACGGTTCCCCGCAGGCGAGGCTCTATCTGGCTAACACCTCTCGACAGAATCTGGAAACAATCGTCGAGGCAATACGTCACCTCGAGGGTGACCATCTGTTCAGCGACGAGCCGGCGCAAGACGTGCCACTGGCGTTGACCAACAAGCAAACGGTCAACACGTCGGTGAAATCGTCTACGGCGTCCAGCACGTCGCCCACGGCGAAGCAACGGCTACTGCAGGCCGAGTTCCTTCAGTTCCACAGACAGCAGCAGCAGACCCAACAGCGACCGGGCGTGATCGTAGTGAAGCCTTCGTGATCGAAAGGCGCGTCGCGATCAGCAAACTGAACGCGTGCGTTCGCCGCGGCAAACTCGCCTCCGCTCGAGGATAACGAACAATCCAAAACCCGCGACGCATCGAGACATCAAGAGGAAATCCTTCTAAAAGTGTGTACACAAAATCGCGTACGTTAAATAGTAGCAGAGAGACGAGAATTGAAAAAAAAAAAAAAAAAAAAAAAAAAAAAAAAAAAAAAAAAAAAAAAAAAAAAAAAACAGGAAGATAAAGAAGATAATCGAGGATGAAGAAGAAAAGAACGGATCTTTCCGCAACACAGTTTACGCTCGAGCCGGAGGTTCCGTTTCCTCGAAGACACTCGGGAAGGCCTCCTTGCGTTCGGCGTTGTAACCGCCGACCGACCATTGTATCGGTGTTGCTCGGTCGGCGTTTTCGTATGTTCCTACTGCCTGTCGTCCACCTTCGTTTCGATCGAGCACCGATCTGTCGCTAATGTCCACCGAGGTCTGCGCCAAAACTGTTGTTGTTTCCGTTCGAGGGATTTAGATGGAATAAATCGTTTGTTGATCGATAGGGGGTCGAGCGAGCAGTTGGTCGCAATTTAATCGCGGTTAAATCGCGACGAAACAGATCGAACAAGAGCGATCCAATCGCACGTTCCTTTTCTGTAGAGGGGGTTTGCGGTTGGTTGAAATCTCGAAACGAAGGTAGGGCCAAAGTCGAAGCTCGACGAAAGGATCCTCGCCACCGAGTCGTCGAAATGTTTCCCTTTCACCCTGACCCCTGTTCTTCACTTGTCATCTCCTGCTCCCCCGTCACCGTCGCTACCACTACCCTTTTGCCTAGTTCTTGTAAATACCACCGATATATTTTCCTTTCGGTTCGCGTTCGAGTCTCGTTCTCCTCTTTTTCCTGTTTTTTTTTTTTTTTTTTTTTTTTTTTTTTTTTTTTTCTTTTTTTTTTTCTTTAACGAGAACACGTTCGCGAACATGCGTTTTCCCGTGTCATCCCCCGTGTCTCGAAAGATTCTCCCTGTCCTACTGTCACCCAACCCTTCCCTCTCCCGTCGCCGGGTCGAATCGTCAGTTTCTCCCACTCACCCCCTATTTATCCCTTCTCATCCCTTCGCGAATCGAGACAGCGAAGCGGGCGTTTTTCTCCTCGTTTTTTCCCATAGACGTAAGGCGACTTGCTACTACAATAATAATTATTCCTAGATCGTAAGGCTGCGTATGCTGTATCGTACCGATGTATACATATGTACACACGATATATACGTATATACATGAGACATGTAACAGTACGATCCCCTCCCGCGAAAGTGTATATACATATATGTATATGTATGTGTGTATACGTGTATATGTATATAGATATATATAATGAATATATATATATACTTATTTACGTTCTCTTTTTTACATTGTTACGAGAATTCAAAGAAAAAAGGAAAAAAAAAAGAAGAAGCATCTATTTATAGACACTTATAAACGACGCGAGGAGAAGGTTCACTCTTGACGACGCCGTACGGTATTTTCCTTTTTGGTTTCTTGTTTTTCTTTTCATTTCGTTTCCGACATTCACACGGGCTTACCGCGTTGTTCGAGTGTTGTTCGCAGAGACAAAGACAGAACCGGGCGACAATTCGATAAACAGGATCGATCGATCGAGACACGATTATACATAGACACGATGTTCGCGCGCGCGGAGGCACGTGCATAGATCTACGAGTACCATGCTCGTATCACACACGTACATATATATATGTATATATGTGCATATATACCTATATGTATATTACACATACACGCCGCATGCTTAATATTTGACACACATTAAGATGCACCCAGGCGATGATGAAGCCACGACAAACGAAATAACTCTTGTTTCCGCGAACCACTTTGAGTGACATTTTCGACGAAAACGGAAACGATTAACGAAAACGTAAAAAAAAACAAAAAAAAAAAACAAAAAAAAAAAACAAAAAAAAAATAAAAAAAAAAAAGAAGCAGAAGGAGGAGGAGAAACATTGTTATACATTTGGAGGTAGAACGTTCTCGTCGCACTGCGCTGGACGAGAAAGCACACGCGGGCCGAAAATTCCGTTTAATCTGTGCCAAATATCGAGTAACCAGACATTTGTTCCTTCGTAGATAGTTAGTAGTGCCAGCGAGACGAGAAAAGCGTATGGCAGATCGGTACATCCGGTATACAGAAGACCAAGATGGCGGTCGTGGCCGCTGAATAAGTTCACGAACCGACGATCGTTCTCTCCCTTCTCGCAAATTGTGTCCCGGCATGTGTTATAAGACGACGCTTGGTCGGCTCGCGAGGCAGACTTTTTCTACCGCGTGTACACTTTTTTAATGCCCCCTTACTCCTGTTTTACCCCCCTCTTCCCGTCAGATCGCAAGAATGTGACGAAAATTCGAAAAACCAAAAAGCCAAAAAAACGAATAACAGAAAACAGAAAATGACAAAAAAATATATACATATTATATATCGAAACGCAGAAGGCTGAAACACTGGGAGCAATCACCACCACCGCTTCGGTGATCCTCGCAAGACACATTTCCCGAACGATTTTTCTACGTGACCACGTTGAAACGAGCACGATGTTTTTTAGGTTAAGACGAGACGCGAGAAACGATCGAGCGCGATAGAGGCTTCTCGAGGAGTCGATGATTATTTCGTGCCTTTCGAGGGGAGGAACGATCGATTCGATAGCGTGGAGAACGCGGCGACAGACCGATCGGCCAAACGATCGACTATAGACGGAACACATCATACACATGTACACACACGTTCGTTTCCGTTTACGCATATCTCTCTCTCTTTCTCTCGTTTATGTTACACACCATTCGTCTTACGTTACATCTTTTCTATTTGTATTTCCATCTTACTTTTTTCTTCCCTTTCGTTCTGTCTTTATTTCTCCGCCTTTTGCCTTTTTCATTCGACACGTCGTACGATAACGATCGACTAAAACCATAGACTGGTCACAGACACACGTAATAATACAATCCACGAGCAAACCAGTCGTATCTTGCGACACTACGCATGCGTTCTGTTTTCTTTTCTGTCTCTTTTCTTGTTTAAGATCGAAATTGTGGATCCTTTCGATCGCCATTCGATACACCGACTAATCGTCGAAGCGACACACGGTTAAGTTTCCCACGCGAGCAGCGTTGAAGCGCGATGAAAATGGGCGCGTGAATGTGTTGAGTTTCGAACGATGCATGCTAGTATGCCTATTATCGAGAGGGATTTAATTGGTAGGTAACTCGCGTTTTAAGTATGTACGCGTAAAAGAGGTAAGCAAAGCAAGCAGACGCAGAAGTAAAAATCATGGTAAAAGAACATAAACACAGGCGTATGGTTAAGCAGAACTTTAGTTAACGTTTAGCAGCTAGAGACTACGTAGGAATTGTTAGCAGCGAGTACACGATGAAATACAACCATGTTATTAATATTGTCTATCGGTATGATAAATGTGAACGCTAATCCGTAATTGTACTGTGTGTATATACTATTATAGCGATGTTGCATACGTTATACACGTGATTACCTAAGGAATGTACGACATTGAAGGGATGTCGATAAAGCTTGCAATGTGGACGAAGAAGAGGAAGAAAAAGAAAGAGGAGAAGATGAAGAAGAAGAAGAAGAAGCAAGATGGCGACGATAATAACGAAAACGAAAGAGAAGAAGAAGAAAAAGGATGGAGAGGAACGAAATTGTTTCTCCGTACCTGACGCGATAAGAACTTTTTCTACCACATGTTCATCGTTTTTCTACGATTTTCAATGCCGCTATTTCGGTGTTCTTTCGCTTCGTTCATCACGCGTGAAAACGTTTCGCTCTGCATCGCGGCAGGTACGAGGAGACCAATCTCCCCATTTGTATAGAAATAGGGTAAACTTTTAAAATTCCACGATGAAAGTGTAAACTAACGGAACTTCGATATATCGTACCTTCGAGGCGAAAAAAAAAGAAAAAAAAAAAAAATAAGAGAAAACCCTGTTTGAGGGTAATGTATGTACAAACAGAAGCATCTCGATGTCGATGTTCGCGCGAGGACGCACGAGGGCCTAAAAAGTCGAGATACGAGTTTCCTTCGGTCGTTCCAATTCTCATTTTGGTTCCCATTAATTCTCCCACCCGGACTTTTCTCCGTTTTCGTTTTACTCCAGCGAATATCGTAGTCTTATTTCAACGAACGACCAGCAATTATACCGTTTCCGTTCGATCCTGATTGCGTGGTATGCGCGCGATCGATCTTCCCTCTTTCGGCTCCGAATGCGTGATCACGCGTACGCGACAATTTTCGTTTCACTTTGATTTTTCTAAACGTGTTTCTTGCTATACGATCGTGATCGTTTTAACAATTAAGATCGAATAATCCACCGTACGAACGAAACGCACACGAGATTCGTAACGAGTGACGACCACTGTCGATGGAAAGGAATTAATTTCTCATCGCTTGTCCTGTCAACCAGTTTTGTTTTTTCAAATGTCAATAAATCAATGTATCATTTCATGTTTAAATAATACTTGCTATTTACTCTCGTCAAAATATATCTTCTACGAATTTCCGAGTTTCATACGAGGTACTCATACGAGGTACGATAGGTATGATGATTATTTCTTCGGGACGTTGACAAACATCGTTTTGACAGTTTCAAAATATCGGGAAAGGAATTTCAAACGTTGGACCGAAAAATTGGAAGGGAACTGGAACGAATACCTTAAAGATAAAGATAATTATGAACTTCCAAGAAAATTCGGTGTGTGAGAATCTGTTCGAGATCACGTTCTTCGAAAAAATGCCAAGTCTTGCAAGATTGTGTATCTCGTAGCAAGGAACACGTGCAACTTCGATATTCGAGCGCTTCCATAGGCATTTGTGGAGGAGCGTGTAAAATGTATACGAGAATGTTGCGCGCATACAATGCGTCTAAATGTAAGAAAGAAGAAAATAAGAAACTAGCATACACACGACAAACACATACGCTATGCATACGCATTTACACAGCTTACTTTACGAGCATTTAAGGGAAAAAAGCCTTAACCTTCCTAAGGCTTCGTGCGACTCGATCATATCTCGT